TGAGTTTTCTTGGAATTTTATTATTAGTAATTAGGAAAATGTTCAAAAAAGATAAAGATATAAAGACCTATGTAATCATAATATTTATCTATTGTGCTAATGAATCGTTACATAACTATCTTCTTTGACAGTTTAAATATTCTGTCAGAAGTCTCAAGAATTAACAACACGTGCCAGGAGATTGTAGATTGAAGTAGAGCGGCAATAATACTCTGGACACGACAATTGAAATCTAATCCATATCATTTTGTTTTAATCAGTGCTTATGTCACTAACATTACGATCAAAAATTAACTCTGTAAATGAGAGCTAAAGGTCATTTAATTCAGACTTTCTGTATACATATATATCATTCTACGTATCAGCACTGAACTCAACAAGAGGCCCATGAATCACATCGCTCACCTGATCATATTGGCTTAGGTAAGAAGTTCAGTATTGAACGGGAAAGAACTCAAATTTTCACATCCTCGGGATTCTTCCTTATCAACACTACTTATCATGGCTTTGTTGTTCTGAAGATGTTTATGCCCCCGTACTCGAAGATTCGGGGGTATATGGTTCTTGCCCTGTCCGTCGATCTGTCTGTCTGTTTGTCCGCAAAAAGTTTAACCTTGCCCATAATTCTCAAGTGGCTGAGGCTTTGGTTTTCATATTTCACGTGTATATTCCTTGTGCAGTACTTTTCTTTGGGCACTACCTCTTAAATTGACCTTGGCGTTCGACCCTCTTTTACAAAAAATACCAAGCTTTAATCAAGGCCATAACTTTTGGAAAGATAGTGCCAGGATTTTCATACTTCACATACGTATACAGGGTGTTTCAGCAAACATGTCACGACTTTGCGGTTTCAATATCAAGTTTGACAGTATTAACGAAAGATTTTTTTTCCAAAAATGAAAATCATATACTAAGTAACCAAACAATTTTATCAATATAAAAGTTGAAGTAATTGTGAATCAATCATTTTTTAAAACAGGCATTTTTAAAGTTGAACATCAGCAGCAGTTTTCAATTTAACGTCATTTTTATGTGTTCTAAAAAGTCACAATATTTTCAGTCAGCATCCTCATTTTGTCTCTGAAGTCCTTTGTGACACATATTTAGACATTTTTAATGAAAAGTCTGTTTTCTAGAAAGATGGTTTTCATATGAGTACTATAACTTTTTTCAAAATCATATCCACTAATATTGATGATTTTGGAGATTTTCTGTATGTATTGTTTAGTTAATAAAAATCCATAAACCCATCTCTGAAGAAACAACATCACAAACTTATTTTCAAAAATGTTATCAAAACTTTAATGCAAAAAATGTACTAGTAATGACTTAATTTTTTATTGTTTATACCAGTATCACAATGATATTGCAAGAAAATGGACTTTAAAAATACAGTTAAGATTTTATATATATTTTATTATTGTGCAAAAATATATTCTCCGTATACTAGTCGTCGTGCCGTAGGATAAACAGAAAGTCTTAAAAATGACAGGCTTGATTTTGAAAGCACTTATAAGAGTCCCAAAGATGGTGATGGTCATTAATATTGGGATTTGGAAGTCGCCAAAACAGTGTCAAATACCACAATCATAATATTGTGGCCACATCAGCTAGCAGTGTCAAAAGCAGGGTATCTGATGTTGTGAATATCATGAACAATGGTTTCAATATCCTTCAAAATAAGGAATATAATGATTTGGTCACCACAGACAACGATACTAGAAGCAAGGAATGCAATGATTTGGACTCCATAGGTACAGACAACGATACCAGAAGATTGGTTGTTCTTGTTTAACACCGGATCGACAATATTTCAGCCAGCCGTGAAAGTTTGAAAGATAATTTTTTTTCTGGCGCCCCCCAGTGAGCCTACTCTTTTTCGAAAACCAGAAAAACGATCTTTTACGTGTCAAGGAGGTTGTTATTCTTGACACTGGGCACCATTTAACGTCCCATCTGACGGACTTTTACACCAGGGGAAATGAATGTGTTGATTTGGTAACCACAGACATCGATACCAACCGCAAGGATAAATACCAAAAATAAGGAAATCAATGATCTGGTGACCACAGACTATACCAAAAGCAAGGAATGCTTTGATTTGATCCCTAAACAACAATACAGAAAACAAAGAAATCAATGATTTGGTCACCACAGACAACGATACCAGAAACAAAGAATGCAGTGATTTGGACGCCATAGGTACAGACAACGATACCAAAAATAAAGAAAACAATGAATGATTTGGTCACCACAGATAATGATACCAGAAGCAAGATATGCAATGCTTTGGTCCCCATAGACAACGATACCAAAAGTAGGTAATGTAATGACTTTGTCAGCACAGACAACGAAACCCAAAGCAAGGAGTGTAATGCTAAAGCCACATCAAACAACGATACTAACAGTATGGAATGCAATGATTTGGTCATCACAGAGACTTTACTAAAAGAAAAGAATATAATGCTGTTGTCCACTAACGATACTAAAAGCAAGGAATGTATGATTTTGTCACCACATAAAACGATACTAAATGCAAGGAATGCAATGATTTGGTCACATCAAACAACAATACCGAAAGGAAGGAATGCATTGATTGTATCACAACTGATAACAATACCAAAAGTAAGAAATGTAATGATTTGGTCACCAAAGAAAACGATACCAGAAGCAAGGAATGTAATAATTTGGTCACCACAGATATTAATTCCAAAAGCAAGGAATGCATTGATTTGGACACATCAGACAACGATACCAAAAGCAAGGAATGCAATGATTTTGGTTACCACAGATCACAGTTCCAAAGGCAAGGAATGTAAAAATTTGGTCACCATATACCACAATTCCAAAAGCAAGAATTGCAACGAGACAATGTTGATTTTTTTTACTTGGATTGTGACTTTGCATAAAGCTGATACTTGCATGTACATGTACTATAGATCAAAATGAAAAAAAAAATGAGGAAATTGTCTTCTTCAACTATTTTTCTAAAATAGCAGATAGTTGACCAAGAAAAACTTCAGCATTGGGGATCTAAGTTAAAATCTGATATGATGAGCATTTCCAGCGAAACAGACGAAGATATAACACAACATGCTCCTTTTGTGACCAATGAAATATCATCTTTTTGGCAAATATTTCTGTGTGAATCGTCGTGTTTATCTTATAATCCTTAACAATTTTAAATATTTGGAAAAGTCATGCAATTTTAAACCGACAGTAAGTCACATATTTCCAAAAATACTTTTCTTTAAGAAATTATTTGATCTATTTTAATTCCTTTGCAGAAAAAAAGGGCATCAGTACCGTAAAGGTAAAACAAGGAATGTTATAGAGAATCTGGTTTTTTCTAAGAAATAAAACAAGAAATAAAAATAAATAATTTTAAGATATAAGGGAATGTATTTTTCAAAATAAATGATAATTCTTATCAAATTGTCTCAATGTGTTTTAAGGATAAATAACACAAACTTTTTTTTCAGAAATCAGCGATATTTCTCATAGATTTACATTTAAACTGGTAACCTAAATAGGCTAATGTTTACCAAGTATAGTGGGAGAATTGTATAAGATTTTGTCATAATGTTAAAAATTTGTGCAAAATTTTGTATGGAATTATATAGATAAGTATAAGTCACATTATCCAGCGATGGGGTATACCATGAGAAACCGATGCGTTTTTTTATAATAATGGCGTGGTTGCCGGCCAGGGCATCTATAGTAATCAGATGGTGACTGAGGGCAGTTCGCGAATCGGCGAGGTCATCGGTAGAAAATATGTTGTAGTTAAAAATCAGCGATGTCTCAACCGATGCTACACATCGCTCCTCATCGGCAACCCATCATAAACACATCCTTCCAGGATTGACCGATGTATGGCCGAGCATCGTCAAGTGTCCGTTGAATCTGAGGTCATCAAGGGATTGAGTCGTGGGCAACTGACATCCGATTATTGGTCGATATTCGGCCAAACATTGGCCCATAGTTAACTGACGTACGAACGATTTTTATCAAAACACGCATCGGTTTCTTATCGTTTACCCCAACGCTGGATAATGTGACTGATATTTTAGGCATTAAAAAGAACATTACAGAAAACATTGTATTTTTAGCAATCTTGTAAAAAAACGTTAATCGAAATCAAAAATCGCATTAAGTAATATATATGTATCCTAGTAAAGTCTATATGTGTACTAAGTTATACTCAATTGTAGGAGAGGTAGCTTTTCAATGAATTTCAAAGAAATCCCTATTTTTCTTATTCATGGCAACACCGTTCAACAAAATCGAGAACACACAAAAGATTTTTTTAAAGTGGAAATTGATCTATAACTGTGGAAGGAGTAGAATTTTGGGAAAAAAATGTTTACAGACAAAGAGACAGACAGATGGGCACTTTGCTATAACATAAGCTTTCCTTGTCTCGATTAAAATTCAATTTATTCTCACATTGTGTAAAACAACACAATAATCAAACAAAAACATTGATGATGAGTGTACAGTTGGTAGGGTAACTCTCATTTAATAACTAATGAATATTTATACTACAAAGGTTATTGATCTCTAATCGCTAGAAAAAAAACAACAAAACAAATAACTATAAAGTATCATCAAAGTTTAAAATATCTAGATAAAAAATTACATTCATTTAATTTTTTAGAGGGGCTAGATACATATAGATAATATTATGTTAATAATGAAAAAAATGAATAGGGTTAAAAAGACTTATTCCAGCGTATTAGAAATCTAAATCAACGTTTTCTATCTTAACAAAAACTATAAAATTAAAGATTTCAGCTTTCTGCACTGCTTGAAATTTTTGTTGTTGAAATTTTACAGTCACTATTGAAAGGCATTACCTATAGAACATCTTATTCTAAATTTGAATTTTCACCCTTTTGATTTGTTCGCCGCAATACCTCACAACTTTGTTTAAAAGACTTAGATTACTACATGTAGAACATGTAGAATTAATATACATTTAAAAGAAGGTAATCCTTTAAAAAATGTTAATGCTATATCTAATATATGAATCATGGATGCAAACGTTAATCACAATGTACAGGTGTACTGTAAAGAAAAAAATACAAGTATGCTCTGACCACAACCCACATTTTACACCAAACTCGGGAACATCATATTAATTTATTTACAACAGAACTCTTTTTTTCTATTCATTTGACAATTTTTTCAGGCATGCATACATATTCAATGCGTTGACATATTATTGATATAATTGAATTAATTACACATTTATTATTATCAAATCATAAGCTTTGCTATAAAACTTTTGATTTTCTGAGTATTTCATAATTAAATGACTGTGTCTGTATGAGTTTGTACGCATTAAGTATTAAAAAAGGTACTGTACTCTATGATTGTGTCCCATCCCATGAAAATATCGTCAATGAATATAAAATAATCACGCGTTTGAACGCGTTTTATTCTCGGAAAAGTTCAATCTCCACAATATAGAAACCCTTTACATTCCTTGCTCATATCTGCTAAAACAATGGGATTTATGTTTGTTTAGTTTGTGCCAGATTTCTTTTAACTCTTTCTTCTGCAATACTCTAACACTGCTATTCCGAAACCTAGGAATGCGATGACTGCAGAAACGATAGCAACAATGACTTCCGCTGAGAGACCGTCTTCTTCCTCGTTGCTTTCAGCACCAGGAACTGTTATAACAGACAGACACTGTTTTACTTTATTCCACCTTACTTGTGCAACAGCCATTTTTAAGTAAAATTTTTCCACTGTTTTTTTACTTGAAGTCCTTTTTTACTTGAAGTCATATTGTTAAATCACAAGTAAACTGAGTTTGATAAACATAAATGTGACAAGAGCATCCTGTTTAAAGGAAGACAAAGAATTAAAGGGATTACAAAAGATTGTAAACTAATAAATAGTAATTGTAAAAGTAGATATGCACAATGCAGATGTGCTTCGGCACAGACAGGCCTCAAATTATGCACCTGTAGTGTATTTAGTTTAACTTCAATTGAACATCAACAAAACAAGAGGCCCAGGAGCCACATCGCTCACCTGAGTACTGTGGTAGGAAAAAAGCAAAAAGCAGTTTAGTATTTAACTTGAATCTACACTAACTGAGGATGCTTCCACATGAGTTTCATATTCCATGGCCCAGTGGTTCTTGAGAAGATTTTTAAAGATTTCCCCTAGTATATATTACTATGTTAAAATTTGACTCCTTATCATGGCCCCACCCTAACCCTGTGGGTCATTATTTGACCAAACTTGGGGATTTACACTACCTGAGGATGCTTCCACACGAGTTTCATCTTTCCTGGCCCAGTGGATCTTGAGAAGAAGACTTTTAAGGATTTTAACTATGTATTCCTATGTTAAACTTTGACCCCTTATCATGGCCCCACCCTACCCCTAGGGGTTATAATTTGAACAAGCTTGAATCTACACTACAAGAGAATGCTTCCACACGAGTTTCAAATTTCCTGGCCCAGTGGTTCTTGAGAAGAAGACTTTTAAAAGATGCCATTAATTTTTCACTAATTCATATTTATCTCCCCTTAGAAAAGGGCATGAACAAACTTGAATCCCCTTTATCCAAGAATACTTTGTGGCAAGTTTGGTTGAAATTAGCCCAGGGGTTCTTGAGAAGAAGATGAAAATGTGAAAAGTTTACAACAACGTCAACGACGACAACGACAACGCCAACAATAACAGACAACGGACAAATTTTGATCAGAAAAGCTCACTTCAGGTGAGCTAAAAAAGGTTATTCAATTTAGTAATGATTAAAAATGATCTCTGGCAGAAGAATACAAAATATATAAGCTTTTTTTCAATGTATGTCCCAACATCTTCTTGCAGAATGAAAAGAAATTAATGCAAATAGCATCATTATAAACATTCCTTATATTGATAATTTTTTTTACAAGATATTTGCTGCCATACCATTTTAATGATATAATCTTGCTAATTTATCACATGTTTATATATTCATCATATTTACCATAACATTGTTGGATTGCATTGCTTCCGACAGGTGAAATATGTCCCTGAGGACAAAGTATACATTTTGTCTGACCAACATATTTTTGGTAATAACCTGGTGTACACCACTGACATCTATCTCCAACCTGATATGAACCCGCTGGGCAATATGCTAAAAATTACAAAAAGTTAATCTTATTTGTAAGCGGGATATAACCCATACTTCTGTATAATTTATTGATATGCAAGATAGGTAAAGAATAAATGCTAATGGTGATGTCAAAGTTGTCTTTTGACATACTCTGAAAGTAATGAATAAGAGCGTTGGGTAGAAGAATACAAGAGGGCTGGCTGATATTTTCTACTATATTTTATGTACACTGTATTTATATTTAGATTGAATTAATAAAACCATTGTGGACTATTTGGAAAGAAGACAAGTGCCTGCGAGTGACAGCCCTACTAAATTATATAATTTTATATGTAACGTCCACTGAAAAAGTAGGATTCTGTGGTACTTGACAACGCTGCTGCTAATAAAAACTAGAGGTCTGTCCGTCTGTACGTCCGTCTCTCTGTTACGCATTGGGGTACCCATCTCTTATCCGCAACTCCTCTCATACCACTGAATGAAATTTGATGAAACTTTCAAAGAATCTTTATTACATATTACCATTATGCACCTCCTATTTTGCTTTTTGATCCGACACATATTTTGGGTTTCCCACAGCAAAACATGGACACTGCCATCATATTAATATGGGAGGGGGGGTATCATTTATTGAGCTCATGGCTCACAGCACCTCTAATTTTTTTTTGTATTTTGAAATTCACTTTTGGATATAGTGAATAAATGATAAATGATTAACTTACCACAACTTCCAAAGTGGTTGAAACTTCCTTCTCCACAAATGGTTTCAGCGGTTATAAGTACAATGATTCCGTGCACTTCAACGAGATCTGTAAATCAAAGTATTTATTTGCACCGCAACAGAATTTATTCACATTAATATATGATTACTTCTAATGAATATGCTTTACATTTTGTGGTTCCAATACTGTAGATCACTAAATTTTGGCGACACCTTATTTTCGCGAGATAGCCGTTAACTCTTTATTAGCGAGACATATTTTTCACGAATTGTTGTTTTCCTCTATATAATCGTAAGGAATACTTTTATACGCGAGAATGAAATTTTTACGAGCTCATTCTATCGCGTAATTACGCGAAAATAAAGTTCTCGCGAATAAAACGTGATTTACAGTATTTGAAGATATACTAGTATATGATGCAAGATTGCAACGGCTGTTTATGAAGACTCTATATCAATGTAATGCAGATTTTTACAGGAGATTATTCTACCATGTTTAAATTTTGTTTAAAGTTACAGCATCATAAGACACGACTTAACAAAAAGTGAACCCTAAGCAAACAAAAGGTTTGCTTTCCAGGATCGCTCGGGGTACGCTAGGGCGAGCGACCCAGTTGTGAATATTTTTCCAAAAGAAAAAAATATCAATATCAATATTGATGGAGGTGAAAACATGAAAAGTGAATATTAGAAATGTCTAAATTGCAAGCCATAAATTTCGAGTTTTTTTTCAGACATCGAACATTTTGGAAAATATCCGGCAATGAGGTTGCCTAACATTTTTCCTGATCAGATAAACAGCTGGCCCCGGCTGCTGCAATCACTGGTTTTGATGTTTTAGGTGTCATTTGTGATGTTGAAATCGCCCTATCCAAACACTGACTCTGCGTCTTAAAATTTAATTTGGAGAGTATGTAGTGTTTTTACACTATACGTGGATAATTATTTAGGGACTATAAATAGATTATATATACGAGGGTCATTCAAAAAGTTCGTAGACTTTTGTCATAACTTTTTTATTTAACGTCATATTTAAACCAAATTTGGTACATATATATTTACAACAGATTCAAATATTTTGAGAAAAGAAATTGGAATATATCTTGATTTTTGTCAAAATTATCAAAGATTGAAGACAGGAAAAACGGGGTCACGGAGCAGGGTCAAAATTGAGTTATTGAATGATTATTCACTTTTCATATCTATGGCCACACCTCTTTAAAATTGTCTTTAACTGAAATAAAATTTAAATACTTAAATTTAGTATTGTTTCATTTCTTCAAAAGCTAAAAGTTAATGAATACATTGCTTTGTTTAAAAGATATCATTTTCTATAGACAGATAGTCTTGATTAAAAAAGCAAAAAATCATGACTTCGAAGGACATCACGGAGCAGCGAGTAGCAATATAATTTTGTTTTGCATTTGGAAACTTTTAAAACAAACTCCGAAAATGCTGGAGAAACCAGGAAAAATACATAAAATGAGCCGTGAATTTGTTTATAATGGAACAGACAATTTTTGAGGGGTAAAAACTTTAAATTGGGCGATGGGCGTTTTGCAAAGAAACAGGTTATAGTTCAAAATCTTGTCAAAAGAGTTAGTAACGTCATGAATGTGAAGTGCGCTTCACTGTTGCGGAACCTGTAAGAGCAGAGTTACATGGTAAAGGATTTGAAAACATTGACAATCTTATTTAAGGTATACTCAAATTATTGTTAGCATACTAGATGTCAAGTGTTATGGATACGTTTTAATGAATGAGGAATACGATACAAACCGTGTATAAAATGAAAAGGCACTGTGAGTTTGAGAAATTTTCTTTAACGTTGTTTTTGACGTTACATGTACAATGTTTTTGACCGTGCTCCGTGGTGACAAATCATGCTGCTTTTAAAATTGGCTATCATGAGTTCCATTTAATCAAATAGAATGAAACTTCAGAAATCTATAAAATATATCTTTTTACACATAAAAATGTACTGATATTAAACTTTGTAAAAATAATGTGATGATGAGGAACATTGTCTACGTATTTTTTGAATGACCCTCGTACATGTAATAAAATATCTTTTTCTCCAGATAACA